AGCAGAAAAGAAAATTATTTGCGCAAGACTATGTAGTCAAAAAAAACTTGTAGAAAGCTTAAGTTGAAATTGCTTAGGGATCGTCCATAAATAACATGACACGAAATTAAACTTATAGACAAAAGACAAAGGATTAAAATTTTTCCCTCGCAGTGTCATTAATTAAATTAAGTATATAAACAACATTTAAAGTCCCGCAAAAATTGCTAAACCAAAGAGCAAAATGATCTCTAACTTATATTTTTTAAATAAATTTTGCGTTGCGTAATTTATGGACAATCCCTTAAGTGAATAAAAAGGAAGAACCAAAACTTTACGCCAAATATATTGCAACTCAAAGTAATTTTTTAAAACGAATCTTTAATATTACTGATGAATATTCGGATGAAATAAGTTTTTTTTTTTAAATACTCTTAAACTCTGTTGTAAATGTTCAAAAACATTCAAAATAGGAGAAAGTAAGAAAATGGGACAAAAGTTAGAATACTTGACAATTTTTCTCTTTTTAATATAGAAGTTACTTTAATTATATTGAGTTGATTAGGAAACATTCCGTATTTTGTTGAACAACTAAACGGTATTATAAAAGGCGGATATTTTCTCGCCTCCACTTTTCTTCCGCAGCAGTTGGCAGCACCCTCCTAATAAATTTTTAGCGGCAAAATGTTCTTTCTTCCACCTCCAGTGGCATTTTGGTGGCAAAATGCTTTTTTATACAGATATAATTAAGTATGCTTTAATTTTTCTTGTAGTAACATTAGTCTAGCTGTGTAAAGCATACAAATATTGTTTTTTATTTTAGTGTTTAAAAGGTCTATGTGCGTTTTCCGTCATGGCTTTTCCACGTCTTGGGCTTACTGGGTTTAAACCATTTAAATAAAATCATCAAACTTTATAAATACAATTTTATACAAGTTTGGCGCAGACTTTAATCCTTTTAATGTATACATAAATTTCAGACGTTGTTAAAGGTTTACAGTATTGACTACAATCAATCAATATTAAAAACAGGACTGACAACACTGGGGAGTACGTGCCCACAATTTTTTTCTAAAGGACCTTTTTTTTTTAAAATAAAATTCTAGATATAGAAGACTTTTTTTAAGAAATGACGTTTATGCCCCCTCCCACTCTGAAACCCGTGCTGTCGGCCCTGAAAAATGTTTAACCGACACTTTATAAAAGTATAATTAAAGATTTGATAAGTACACTTAGATCATTTTCATGTATACGTTTATTAAACGTTTACAATATTGACTTATTTTAGTCAATATTCTAAACGTTTAATTGATGTTTAATAAACGTAAAGGCTAATATATTTATTAAGTACACTTTAATTTTCTTAATGTAAACGTCTTAAATTAAACGTTTGCAAAACGTTTACAATTATGACTTAAGTTAGTCAATATTATAAACGTTTAAATTACGACTAATAAACGTATTATAAACGTATAACACAATATTATAAACGTATAGAGGAGAGTGAGGAGAAGTGGGACAGGAAAATCTTTTTTTAGGGTAATTGCAATATCTTTTTTATTTGATGAATAAACTGAACCAAACAACTTTTTACGAATAAACTTTCTTTTTAGGCACCGATTCAATCCTCTTAGATTTCCAGCCAATTATAACTAAGTATATAAATTTTTAATTTTAGAGAAACCGTTTCATTGGGGTAAAGTGGAACAAGTGTGAGTAGAGTGGGACAAATAAATTAAAACAATATTTTAACACAAATTATTAAATAGAAACTTTTAATATCATAAAATCATCTAATTGATTTAAAATGTTTAAGAGCTTTCACCAAACAAGATAATCAAATGGCGACGGGAAGAAGTGGGGCATAAATATTTATTTTTTCTGTCCCACTTTAAAATTCAAATTTTCAAAATTAGGACTTCAAGAACACGCAGGGAAACAAATTCTGCTAAATAGAGAGGAAAAAAGTTTTTGCATTAAATAACAGTATTTAGGCACCACTCCTAATTAGAAATTTCAGGCTGTCCCTCTTCTACCGCGTCCCACTTCTTGCAACTCTTCCCGACATTATTATTTATTTATTTTTTTTAATTTTTTTAAGTTGATTTAGGTGCCCCAAGAAGTCCTTATAGGCTGTTCACACGAGGGTACATTTGATGGAACATTCCGTGGAACATGGAACATGAACAAATATCCTCTCGTGTGAACGCAAACGGAACAAAAATTCAAGGAACATTTGAGGAACTTTTGTACCGTCCCGCCAACCCAGAACAAATAAATGTTCCGGAACATTTATTTGGTTTTGTATAAAAAATGGTGCCTATTTTCAACTATTTTTAAAATAAGCGTATGCATATAAGCTAAATGATTCAATAAAAATACATTGCAAGATGCAAATTTGTTGTAAAAGTAACTCAAACTATTTTTTTTACAAAGTTGTTGTCATCTTAACCAGAGTTTTTAGTCCTTGATCTCTGCATTGTCCTAGGTCTTGGTCATATATCAAGACAAGATTATAGATATACTATTTGCCTTTCAACATGTTGCCTTGAAACTTTTAGTTTTTACCTTCCATCTTTTTTATTTAATTCAAAACATTTCTTTAAATATAATTTCATATATTTATTCATTGAGTAAAAACTTGTGGTAATTTCATGCAACCAAGGAAATTCCGATCCCACTCGTGTGGGATCAATCATGAGTAGACCAGATGGTGGGCAATTGTTTAAAAAACAATTATTTGACCATCACAAATTTCAAGTTATTTTTAACGATATTTAAAATTTGTATAAATAGAATAGAAATTTAATTATTAGTATATTATTAATTTAAAATGAAGTTATATATGTGTGTTTAAAAACTTAATCTTAAAATATAACATTACAAAGACAGTATTATTTTTATTAAGATCAGTTTTAATTTGAATTAACAAGAAGTATAATTCAAGGTAACATTTAACTTGCGTTAAGAAAGTTTAATTTTCATTGTTTAATAGTTTTTATTTAATTATATTCTTTGCAAGCATTGCTATTAATGCATTTTTAATAAACTTATAGTAATTTTATTTATAAAATTCAACTTTGAACTAATAAGCAGATTTGTTTATCATTGGCCTTGCCAACAGTGATAATAAAAATAATAATAATTATTATTATAATAATTATAATAATAGAATAATAATAGTAATAATAATGATAAAAATAACAACAATAACAGTTGTTAATATTATTATCATTATTATCATCATTGTTATTATTATTTATATTAACATTATTATTGATATTATTATTGGTATATATTGTTATATATGAGCTTTGTCATATATTTTATTTATATGTCATATATATTTTATTATATTAGCTTTATCTTATCTTGTTATTTTAATTTGTGAACATTACCATTAGTATTTTCCTCATAAATATTCTGTATTTACTTAATATTAGTTATTTTACTGTTTGTGAATAATTGTGAAAATAAGATCTTTATTCAGAATATATATTATTGATTGACTGTATTGATATGACTGTACCTTATATCTTTGCCACAATGTACTACAATTATTGACATTTAAAAATAAAAATAAACAATAGTGTTGAAAGATCAATGTTATTAAATAACATAATTATCACATTGCATGGAAAAGTAAAAAAAAGTAAAAGTAGCATCTGAAAGTTTCTGTTCTCTTGGCTACCAGTTTTTGGCAATTTATTAAATTATTTAGTAAGCCCATAACATTATTAAATTATTTTAAGCCCATAACATTTATAGCAATTATGAAGTTTAACCTTTAATTTTATTATTAACTATTTCTCTTCTTTTTGTTGTTGTTATTGTTGCAAGATTCAATGTACTTATCCTTTTTAGTAGGTATAACTTTAATTTTACACAATGTCTCAGCATTCAGAAAAAGAGTGTATTGACGCTAGCACAACAAATATTGGTCTTTGCACATCTCCTTTAAATAAATTTGTATGGAATATGGCTAACACAAGAGTATTATTAGATTTATGGAAAGATAATTACAATGCATTAACATCTGCAAGAAGAAACACAAATATTTACAAACAAATGGCAGCTGAATTTTCAAACACATTTAATATTGTACCTCCATTAACTGGATATCAAATTCAATCTAAAATTAGTAATTTGAGGAAACAATTTAGGTATGTACATATTCTACATTTAATGTTTGATACCTTACTGAATTACTGAAAGTATTTTACAAAACTAACCATGTGTAATAATATCTAATTGCAATTTAGTTTGTAACTGAGTGTTATATTAAAAATTACTTAAATCTTATTCAGTATTAAAGATTTACAGCTCGTTGATAATTATTTTGTTAATATTTTGTTATTTTATTATTCGTTAATAATTCGTTAATTTTGTTAATAATTATTTCGTTAATAATAATTTGTCCATTTAAAGTTATTTGATTAATGTTATACAGTGTTAATGATGTGCTTATATTTACTTATATTTATGTATATTTTTCATAGACGAGAAAAACTTTAAGTTGGTTCATTGGGAGGAGCTCCTAGTAAATGGTGGCCTTACGATATTGTTGCCAAAATAATAGGTGGTGAAGCTTCCCTTGACAATGACCTTTTATCTCAAAGTCAAAACTTTTCTACTCAAGATTTTCAAGATGGTCAGGTAAGTTTAGTATAATTTATTGTTGTATTTTTTAAAGTGTTATATATTTTTAAAGTAATGTAAACAAGCATGTTAACTATTTCTAAAAAATAAGGTTTAAGAGGTTCTTAGTTTTGCAACATTTGGCAGACTTAAAACATAAAGATCAAAAACATATAATATAAAGTTTTTGAATTATAAAAGGGATATTTGTAAAATGCTATTGTCTAAATAAATCCTTTTTGTTTAGGGAAGGAAGGGAGTAAAATGACTTCAAGTCAAGTCTTTCAAAGTCAAGAGATAAATTTTGATTGAAACATGATTTATAAACATTTCTCAAATGTGTAATTTTTTTAATGTGTATATTTTATTTACAGATTGCCACAATGGAAGATAGCAAGGAGACTGTCAGTATTTTAAATACTGAAGCTTTGGATTATACAAGCGATGTGCAATCAATTGTCACTATTCCTGATGAGGAACCAACTCAATCTACATCCGGCTGCAATAAACGGAGGAGCTCTGATGATGAAAAAACTTTGAATAAAATAGCAAAAACTGAACCGGTGAGAAAAAATAAAAAAACAAATTTTTTTTCTGAATATTTAAAAATAGCAAATAAAAATCTAGATGTTCAAATCCGTTCACAAGAGCTACAAATCAGAGAGGTTGTTGCTTTAGAGCGTATTTGCGATGCAATTGAAAATGCACCTAAAGCCCAAGTAGATGTGTCTAAAGCCCAAGTAGAATATTATAAATTTTTAATAAAAAAATAAGGTGTTCTATTAGTCAAGATATCTTTTTAGTAATTATGTTAAAGTTGAAAGGTCAGTATTTTTTCAACAGTATACCTTGTTTACAATTCTATGCAATATATATTTCATAAGGTTTTTCAATGTTTTAACTAAAGAGATGGTTAGTGAAATATTGTACAAGCTTGTAGATGAAGTTCTACTTATATATATTTTTTCATGTTACCATATTACTATTATCAAAGGAATTTTTACTTTATATAAAATAAAAATATTTTGTGATTTCAAGCATTAAAATGCATATCTGGTGGTATTTTTTAAATTTGTCATGTTATTTTATAAATACCTTTTCTTGTATCTCTATGCTATATATATTAAGTATTTTTACCAAATAATTTTTTTTTGCAATATGAAGCAAGCCTGTAGATGAATTATAGTGATATGTTTTTTGCCAACATTAATCAATGATGAATCAATCACCCACCCATTTTCATATTTAGATTTAGCTTCCTTTAAGTTAAATCAACAAGGGTATCTGATTGAAAGAAAAGTTTGGGTTAGGCCAAAAAGTTCTCAATGGTTTAATAAGATTTTTTATTCAAATGGAGGAATGTGAATTTAAAGAGCATTTTCGAGTAAATCGTAACACATTTAATTTCCTAGTTAATGAATTGCATCCACATTTAGGCAAAACTACCACAACTATGCGAGAACCTATTTCAGTAGTAAAACGTGTTGCAGTTGCATTACATTATCTAGCTTCATGTGAAGAGTATCGTGTTGTGTCTAGCCTTTTTGGCATAGGAAAGTCAACAGCAAATTTAATTGTTCATGAATTTATTAATGCTGTTAATGACATTTTGCTCCCTAAATATGTTAAATTTCCATTGTCAGTGGAAAATTTAAATAAACAGTAGAGATTTTGAAGCTATTCTTAGTTTTCCACAATGCGTTGGAGCTGTTAATGGATGCCACATCCCTATTTCAGCCCCTAAAGATCAAGCAATTTCTTATTATAATTATAAAGGGTGGTATTCCATTGTACTTTTTGCCGTTGTAGACAGTCGATACCGTTTCATTTATACAAGTGTTGGATTGCCTGGTAGAAATAATGACAGCTATATTTTGCAGAATTCTTCTTTGAAAGAAATTTTAGAATCAAATCTATTTGATAAATGTTGTAAAGAGCTGGGCGATTCTCTTGTTCCACTATGTTTGATAGGTGATTCAGCATTTCCTTTAACGCGTCATTTGTTAAAACCTTATCCTGAAAATTTGGAGCTTAGTGAAATTCAAAAAAATTTCAACAAAATACTTTGCGGAGCTAGAAGAGTAGTTGAGAATGCCTTTGGGCGCGTTAAAGCTCGATTCCGTGTAATTTGCAAACGTATGGAATGCGATATTAACTTTGCTACAAGAATTGTTAATGCTTGCGTCACTCTTCACAACATTTGTGAATATTATGACGATATTATTATAATAGAATGGCTTATGCATCATCATGATGACAGTCTAGCTCAACCCAATTCAGTTTCTACAACTGGGAACAATGGACCAGGAAAAAATGTTCGTGACTCAATTGCTAAATACCTTTATAAAAGGGACAAGTAAAGTAGTAATAATATTATTTATTATTTAAAGCTTTAGCTGTAATATGGTTATGTATTTACTTACTTTCCTTGAGGTTATCAAATGTGTCTAAATAAATAAATATTAAATATGTATGAACACAAAATGAGATTAGTTTTAACTGGTCGTGGGTAACATATTAATGTATAATATGTTTATTCAGTACTATACCACTGATGGACTACTATTCTGTGTCGTCAAAAGCGACTAAAGGAGATATGACCTATCCATAAAAGCCAAAAAACGGGATAACAAAATTCCAACGTAACCTTTTGTATGGCGGGTATTTTGGGTTGGGTTTTTATTGTCTAACTCTGAGCTAGCTAAACCCTCAGCGTTATTTGCATTTAGTTTTACCTCTCATAAATGTTTAAATATTAAAAATTAATAAATTATATTAACAATGTGTATTTGCCAAACTGTTTGTCACTAATTTTTATTCGAGTTTTACCTACCTTACCTACTCGTTTTTTCTTTTATGTACCGTCAAGCCAATTTTACATGTGAACGCTACAAGTAACATTTTGTGGAACATTTTGTTCCAGGAACATTTGTTCCGGAATAATGTTCCGCCGAACATCGCTAGTGTGAACATGGTATTACGGTCTTATCACAGAGCACCGCGGAAGAGCATTTAATAGGAAGTTCACGCCACCTTCCCAACCGATGTCGCAAAATTTGCTCAGAGGTGGGGTTTGAACCATAGATCTTACGTTTCTGAGGCAAGTGCGCTACTACTGCGCCACGGCAGCATTAGAAACATTAGAAGGCGTGAAATGTAAATCCAATTCAACTCTCTATTTTCGGTCAATATATAGTTGCTAATCGTTTTATTCATTTTTTAGCTAACATCGATTAAATACATACCAACTCTGGACAACTCTGTATTTACTAGGAAAATTCAAAAAAAAAAAAAAAATTTAAACATAAAAGATTTGTCATATTAGTTTGATAATACTGGATAAGATTTGTATTTTTGTGCTTAGACGCAAGTTATGCTTAGACACATAAAATATGAAAAAGTATCTTAGGGGTCGTCCATAAAGTACGTACGCTTTATTTTCGCCAACCCCCACCCCACCCCCCCGCGCAATTTGCCGTACGCTTTTTTGAGTACTCTTTACTTCCCTAAAAGTAACTACGCTTTTAACCTACTAATCCAACATTTTATGATATTTTTTTTTAATTTAGTGTCTCCATACTTTTATAATTGATCTATTGCCCCCTTATCTCAGAAACACCATTTGCAGACCTCCTCTTCCTCTCCAAGCGTACGTATTTTATGGACGATCCCTTACTATCTTACATTTAGACTTAAAACAAAGAACATAAAAAACATCAGGATGATGTATAATAAAATCATTTCAATTAAGAGAGGTTTTGCTTGAGTATAACTTTAATGAGAGATTTAAAAATAAAAAATTAGCTTTAAAATTGAAATTAAAAGTTTCAAAAACAAAGTGACGACTTTTTGCAATGATTTTCATGCCTAAAATTTTATGCTTTTTTTTTATAGATTTGCTAAAAAGGTTTATAAATAAGCATATTTGTTCAATCATTTTAAATTTTTATTAGCTTAACTATTTTGTCCTGTTAGATTAAATTAAACACGCAACTGTTATTGGTGGTATTGTGGTTTATTCTCTTCCGGCTAATTGCCATTTAGAGGCCACATACCAAGGCCCGCAAAGACGAGTTCAGCTCACAAAAAAGCATCATAACCCGCTTCGACGAACCAAGAGTAAGTGAGTTTAGTGTCTCATACTGCCCCGTTTTATTTTAACCTTTAAACGAAACCATGGTTTTCATGACTTTCGAAGGGTATCACAAAAATATACTTAAAAAAATTTAATATTGTATCTTAATTATAATTGATGATATATTTACATATTTTATTTTGCTTTGCTGGAGAAAATATGTTTATTTGTCAGTTTTATCATCGGCATTATATTATTTCAACTTTAAATAAATATCATTTTCTAAGTATCAATTTTATTCTAACTGTTTCTGATGACATAAAAGCATTTTTACATATTATTTATTATTGTTTACCGGCTCTGAGGCGTAACGTATCCTTAGCTATATAATTAACAAGGAATGTTAATATTCGGTTCTAGATCTATAAAAAATTCGATTGTCTCATTCTATTCCATTTTTATTCGATTACAGCACGTGACACACGTCAAATTATTAGTAAAACAATTTTACAACTGAGAAATGAAAATGAATTCGAATTCATTTATTTAATTTATAACACATACAATACAGCTAAGTACTAATATTTTAATTTATTTATGTAATATTTCAGTCTGAATAGTTCAGACCGTCATCAGACGTAAAATTAAATACAATAAAAATCTCACAAAAAACGTATGTAAAAAACCGTTATAGAAGATATTACAAAGATGAGCTGACGTAACGTAAACAACTATTTTGAAATTTCTATGATTTTTTTTAAAAAGAGGTCGCCAGCTATTTGACGCAATTTTAACACCGTTGTCTTTGTTCAAAAGCGGTGGGAAGTGTCTTATTTCGTAATTTGTTTGGGCATAATTAATTTCAAGTGACTCTCTTATTTTCCTTTCATGGTAGTTAGACTTGAATGCGATCGTTTTTGGGTGCATCCAATTAAATATACCGTGGCAGTTCTTGCAGTGTTCTGTGGCTCCGGAAGCATGCCAATTACCTTTCATACTGTTTATCTGATGCTCAATACTTCTTTGTATAATTTTCTTTTTTGTTTCTCCAATATAAACGCCACCGCATGAACACGTAAGCTTATACACACCCGGCTTGCTATTTGGCAATAGTTTGGATTTGTTATTACACAAAATTCTTTTTAAAGTTGGTGGTGTTGTAAATATAACTTTAGCGCCATATCTCTTGAGCTCTTTCCTTAATTTTTAATTCGAATTCAAATTTAAATTCAAATTTAAATATCCTTAATTCGAATTCAAATTTAAGTTTTTTTTTATTATAACCTAACTAACTTAGTTTATTAAGTTATAATTTAAATAATAAATATATAGTGCAATTATTTAAGTATTTAGTGCAGCTGTTGCTTATAACTACAATCTGTTATAAAAACAATAACGGTGTAAGTAAATGTTACAAACTCTTATAAATAAAATTTAACTCTTTATTTAATTAATTACTCGTAAATTTAAAAAGTTAATTTAAAGTATTGTGCTTCTTTTATGACTATCTTGACCTAAAGTTAATATCATAAACAAATAAATAAAATCAAAACTTAAAATTCATGCAAATACCTAACTATAATTTTTTTTTCATTAGTTTAAACGTAAGTCTAAAATCATGTCAAAAAAACCAACGAGAGACAGAGATATAGGAAGAACATGGGGATCTTGTGCATCGAAACGAAAAAGAAAGACTGAAACAGAGAAATCAAACCAAACTATGAGTTCCAACAAGATGAAAATTCTTAAAAAACTCCTTTCAACTGTTACTGCGCTAGAGTCCTTTGATGAACCTCTTGGGTAAGTTTCTTTGGTTTCTGAAACAGAACCAGCTTCAGAGTCGAATGTATCAGCTGTAACCCAAGAGTTTAAACACAATAAATATTTGGCTAGTGATAAAATTTGTGACTCAGTAAATCAAGAGCAAACAATTCATTTGAGCGATTCATTTATAAACTTAAGTCCAGGAAAATGAACATTTCTAATAACCGACTCTCAGCGTTATGACTTAATTCAAAACAGTCCCCATCAAAATATAGAGAAATCTGATGAAAGTTACCCCAAAGACGCAAATAACAGACATTTTTCTAAATTTCATTTTTCGCGAAAACTGATTAACGGCGAAACTCAACATTGCAGATGGTTAGTTTACTTCTTGTCAAAAGATAAAGTTTATTGCTTTCCTTGTAGACCTTTTTCACATACACAGATTCAGATGGTGAAAGAAGGATGTTATGACTAGAAAGATCTGAGTCAGATATTGCATAGATATGAAAAAAATCAAGGATACATGGAGTGCATGGTTAAATGAATGGAATTTTATAGAAGAATTAAATAGTTTAGGAAAATGAGAGATTAATTAAAAAATCTCAAAAATATTTGGATAATTTGATTGAAAGATTGATTGATATAATAAACTTTTTAGCCCCGCACAATCTGGCATTTATTGGTCTTAGAGAATCATTAAACCTGGACAATAGCAGAAACAGTTATAGCAGAAACAGATCAACTCCTTTATATTCACCTCCTATAAATCCTGTACCATCATACCTTTGGCCTCTACACTTTTGAATATCAAGTCCAAAAAGTCTCTTGAAGTGTATTAAGTAATTTTAGTAAGTAATTTTAGTAAATTTAGAGATAGAAAGTAAATTTAGAGGTATGCTAAGACCTGATGTACCAATCTTGCAATCAATAAATGTTAGGAAATCTTCGCAAATCTCATTATTTGGATTTACATATCCTAAAAAAAGTGACATTTGTTCAGTATTTGAACAGTCAAATGCTTCATCACAAAGAATTAAAAAAAAATTGGAATGCCTAATATTTTTTATTAAAGTTACCTCAATTATTTTCCCACCAGAATCAATAAGTTGGTCTTAGGTAGTTTTTGATATAAAGGTTGCATTTTTTGGACTTGAAAAAAGATGATTAGCTAATATTTGATCACCAGCAAACAGTGGGCCAAACAGTTGTTTTCACGGACATTGGTTCATAACTTTTGAACAGAAAGTGCCATGGGGTTGATTAAGAACTTTTTGGAAAAGTTTTAATGTGCAAGTTTTGGAAAAACTAAAAAATTATTTTGCTGCAGGATATTTAGGTCATAATTTAAAAGAACAAAATGTTGAAAATTTCATAAAATTTGATTTTTTTATAGGTTATAACAAAAATATGTATAAATGTTTATAAATATGTATGCATATTTTGTAATACTAAGATAACATAGGTACAATAAAAATTATCAAAAGTAGTATTAATATATGTAATTTATTTATTTGTAAC